CGACAAGTACATGGTGCTCAAGGGTCACAAGAACGTCATTCTGGAGCTGCAGTGAAGGAGAATCGACCATTGTATTGTATATAAACCCTCTCTTACCATCATTTCCCCAATCCTCCCCTTCCATCGTCAGTCCTGTGGCGCATAGAAGGCGAGTGCGACAACTACATGGTGCTCAAGGGCCACAAGAACGTGATTCTCGAGCTGCAGTGGACGTCGGACGGCCACAGCATCGTGTCTGCCAGCCCTGATCAGACCGTGCGCGCATGGGACGTGGAGACGGGGAAACAGGTGAGAGGCGGAGGGGGGTGAGTTGCATGGATTCAAGGTGCTGTGCGGTAGCTGCAGTGGGCGTCAGATGGCCACAGCATCGTGTCTGCCAGTCCTGATCAGACCGTGTGAGCGTGGGATGTGGAGACTGGGAAGCAGGTAAGAGCGTGTGGGCAGGGGAGGGGTTGTGTGGGTGTGGATTGGGGAGATGCGGAAGCAGGTGAGAGGTGGACGGGTGAGTTGCATGGATTGAGTGCTCGAGCTGCAGTGGGCCTTGGATGGCCCCAGCATCGTGTCTGCCAGCCCTGTCCAGACCGTGCGCGCATTTGATGTGGAGGAGACTGGGAAGCAGGTGAGAGCGTGCGCACATGGGATGTGGAGACTGGCAAGCAGGTGAGAGGTGACAGACACCCTCCTGTTTCCTCTTCCTCTTGCGACCCGAACCGAACCCCATATGAAGAAGTCTCAAACCAGAAGTAGCTTGCTTTGCTCACATCACAGCATCCCCCCTTGGCCTTTGGGTGCTGCCACTGATCGAGAAAGAAGATGGCGGAGCGTTCGTCGTTTGTAAACAGCTGCTCCTCGGTGCCAAAGGCTCCTCAATTACAAGTGTCTCTTTCATCCCAACGCCCCTTCTCTCCGCCCTCTCCCTTCTCCTCTTTTCTCCTCCTTTCCCGGTAACAGATGAAGAAATGGCGGAGCATTCGTCGTTTGTCAACAGCTGCTGCCTTTCTCTGCCTCTCCGTGACTCTCTCGTCTTCCTTCCCCCACCCCTCGCCCGCCTCCCGCAACAGATAAAGAAGATGGCGGAGCATTCGTCGTTCGTCAACAGCTGCTGCCCCGCGCCCAGAGGCCCGCCGCTGATAGTCAGCGGCAGCGACGACGGCACGGCCAAGCTGTGGGACATGCGCGTCAGAGGGTGCATCCAGACATTTCCAGACAAGTACCAGGTGGGTGGGTGAGCTGTAATCAAGTACCAGGTGGGTGGGTGAGCTGTAATCAAGTACCAGGTGGGTGATAAATTGCGATGCATGCGTTGGCGCGTGTATGCATGTGTGATTGCACGTGACGTGTCTCTTTCCTTGCATGCATGCGTGGCAGGGCATCTGTGTTTGATGTGAGGTGCCTCTGTGTAACCAGTCTGACTGCACACGTCGCAACCAAAAATCACTCCCTTCCTCCATCCCGCAGGTCACAGCAGTGGCATTCTCTTATAACGGGGACAAAGTGTACTCGGGCGGAATCGACAACCAAATAAAGGTCTGGGACCTTCGAAAATCAGGCGGCACATCAACAGCAGCAGGGGCGGGGGGAGAGGACGCAGCAGAGGGCGGAAGCGGAGAGACTGGGGGCGGGGGGGGCAAGGGAGCGGAGCCGGTGATGAGGCTGGTGGGGCACACGGATACGATCACGGGCATGAGGGTCAGCCCTGATGGGGCGTATCTGCTCACCAACGCCATGGACTGCACCCTGCGCATCTGGGACCTCCGGCCCTACGCCCCGCAGGTGTGTTGTGTGCTGTTCGCATCATACCCAACCATACACCCTGTAGATCCCGTTCATGATAAAAAGATTGTTTTATACATCTTATCAAGTGGTTTTTGAGACGTCTCAAAAAACAGTTTTTTATCGTACCCAACCATACACCCTGTGAATGGCGTTCGTTCTCACTTCACTCACCTGTCCGCTCACCAATGCCATGGGATGCATCATGCATGCACGCCATGGGATGCATCATGCATGCACGCCATGCATCTGGGACCTCCGGATGCGTTTTGGTGTGCTCTCTGTATCATGAGGTCCCAGTTCAGCCTTCAGGCGTACGCCTTGCAGGTGCGTTCCTGTGCGCTTCTCAAACCATGCACCCCCCGAGTGGTGCCGTGCGGGCTTCTCTCTAACTGCAACAAATGGCATGGTGAAGTTCCGGCGAATAATATTAACAAGTACTTCTTACTTCTTACTTGGGCATCTTACTCCTTTTCCTCGCCCTCCTCTTGAGCGTCTCTGCCGTTCATTCCCTCCACTTCTCAGATTGGATACCTCATTCCCACCTCCACCCCTTTGCGACGCATCCACCATACTAACACCCCTGTGCTTCCCTCCTCCCCGTTCTCCACATACGAACCCTCCCATGCCCCGCCTTCCGCCTTCCGCCCCCACTCTGCTCCCCCCGCTCCTCTCCCTCCGCTCCTCTCCCTCCGCTCCTCTCCCTCCGCTCCTCTCCCTCCGCTCCTCTCCCTCCGCTCCTCTCCCTCCGCTCCTCTCCCTCCGCTCCTCTCCCTCCGCTCCTCTCCCTCCGCTCCTCTCCCTCCGCTCCTCTCCCTCCGCTCCTCTCCCTCCGCCCCTCTTCTTCCGCCCCCCTCCCTCCGCCTGTCGCCCTCCGCCCGTCGCCCTCCTCCCCCTTTCTCCACACCAACCCTCCCGCCCCTCTGCACAGTGGGCACCAGCACAGCGGGGAGGAGATCCCTGAGGCACAGCACAGCTCAAATGCGAGTGGCCTGAGGCCCCTTTAACTACTAGCCGCTCAGCCTCTCTACTCCACATGCGTCATACTATCCCTGCCCGTTGCGCAGAACCGGTGTGTGAAGATCTTCACAGGCCACCAGCAGAGCGTGGAGACGAACTGGCTCAAATGCGATTGGTGTGAGGCCCTTACAAGCACTTCCCCCTCATCCTCTCCACTCCACATGCGCTGTGCTAACCCCCCCCTGTTCTCCTCCCCCACCCTCCCCATTGCGCAGAACCGGTGTGTGAAGATCTTCACAGACCACCAGCACAGCGTGGAGAAGAATCTGCTCAAGTGTGATTCGTATTTAGCCCCTACAAGCACTCGCCGCTCAGCCCCTCCACATGTGCCGTACTAACCCCCCTTTTTCTCCCCGAAACCACCCGTCCCCATCACCCAGAATCGGTGTGTGAAGATCTTCACAGGGCACCAGCACAGCGTGGAGAAGAACCTGCTGAAGTGCGATTGGTCGCCGGACGGCTCCCGCGTGACAGCTGGCAGCGCCGACCGCATGGTGTATGTGTGGGACACGACGATGCGGCGGATTCTTTACAAGGTCCGTATGGGGCTGATTATACAGGGTACAGCGGTGGGTGGGTGTTAAAAGGGATGGGATTAATCAGCACGAGATGCATGCTAATCGCATGGTGTATGTGTGGGACACCACGATGCAGCGGATTCTTTACAAGGTACGTATGGGGCTCATTATACAGGGTACAGCGGAGCGCAGGGTGCAGGGTGCAGGGTGCAGGGAGGGACATGGTAACCGCATGGTGTATGTTTGGGACACGACCATGCGGCGGATTCTTTACAAGGTACGTATGGGGTACAAATGGTGTATGTGTGGGATACCATGATGCCCCGGACTCTTTACAAGGTACAGGGTTGTTTGTTTGATCATGTAGGATGCTGACCGTTGACGCAACGTTCATCTTCATTGCATCGTGTTTGTTCGAGGCACCGCCATTAGCCAAGTCTGGTGCAAGGTATACCTCTGAGGCTGCTTTTGAGTCGACTCAAAACCATGAGCCAAGTCCGGTACAAGGTATACCGCTGAGACGCCTCACAAGGTATAGTAGGGTTAATCATGGAGGCAACAGGGTTGTGCTAAGACAGATGGCCGCCTGTACGAAGTACATTCTGATTGCATCGTATGGGGGGGATTGCATGGTATGGGGGGGATTGCATGGTATGGGGGGGATTGCATGGTATGGGGGGGATTGCATGGTATGGGGGGGATTGCATGGTATGGGGGGGATTGCATGGTATGGGGGGGATTGCATGGTATGGGGGGGATTGCATGGTATGGGGGTTCAACTGTGCCTGATGTGTTTTGAGACAACTCAAACACCTTGTGCCATGACGGATGGCCGTTTGTACAGAGCACATGCTGATTGCATGGTATGGGGGGTTCTGCTGTGCCTGCTCCCAATCCCCAACCCCATCTCCATCTTTCTCCCATCGCCCTCCTCACGTGATGCTGCTGCAGTTGCCGGGTCACAACGGATCAGTGAACGAGGCGGTGTTCCATCCCTCACAGCCCATCATCGGCTCCTGCTCCTCTGACAAGCGCATCTATCTGGGCGAGCTTGATCCTTCCCTCAAGTGAACCTGATGCTTGGGTTAGGTTTTTTTACATGTACGGTAGTTGTTATCTTTTCCCTTCTGCTCATGCAGTCTTATTTACTTAAATCCATTTCCTGTACTAGGTTTGAATTTCATGCCAAACAGTGGTAACCACACGCAATAGCTTAGGGAAGCACTGACAAATGGGAGAGGTTGGTGAACTGCTGCAAACATTAACACACGAGTCTCTAACAGTTCAACTGGAGTGTATGCAATTCTGCTCAGGCAGGTGCCCAACATTTGTCAAGAAACTGACAGTGCTGCCAAGGTTGCTCACATTAGTCACAGAACCACACGCACATGTCTGTCTGCCACCACAGGGTGGCATCCCAGTGTACTGCTCCTCCCATGCATAAACCCACCCCTACTCTGTAACAAGCATTTCTCCTGCAACAAAGGTTGCTGCAGTAGCTTAATAGATCTCATTTTGCATGTCAGCTTCATCCATATTACAAGCAGCATGTCTTCATGTGCAGCATATTGCAGCGCTTATTTCACATGTACAAAACAGGGATCTGTGCCAGGGGCAAAAGCACAGTTGGAGCAGCAGCAGAGCAGAGCAGAAGAGTGCACGCAAGGGTGGAAGGGGCCACAAGGAGGGTCACCGGGCTTCAAACTGCACAACTGGTCACACAGAGGGTCGGAGGGTGGGAAACGGACACACGGTGGGAAATGGTTTAGCAGGAGAAGTTAGGATGGGGCACGCAGGGCGGACAAGAGCAGGGCCGAGATGTTGGGATGGTTAATTGTGGCATGGTGAGATGGTAGCATGGTCGCATGGTGAGATGGTGGCATGGTTGACTGTGGCATGGTGAGATGGTAGCATGGTCGCATGGCGAGATGGCGGCATGGTTAATTGTGGCATGGTGAGATGGTAGCATGGTCGCATGGTGAGGTGGTGGCATGGTCACAGGGACTCGTAGCAAGAAGATGAGGGTGAGAATTAATTGAGAGAAACAACAGCTTAGTGACAGCAATGACACAACAAGAAGCAAACGAGGTTACCATGTAAAACAAACAGAATAAAACATGATCTGGAACAAGGGTTCGGGCATAAGCGGGTTTCGGGTTTCCGGGTTCAACTGGGTTTCGGGGTTCCGGGCATAAGTGGAACAAGGGTTACCTAACCACACTTGAACCTTTCGGAAAAAAAAAAACATATTTGTCAGCACACATGTCTGCGACTTTTGAGACGTCTCAAAAGTCATAGTTGTCAGCACACGTGTCTGCGACAAGACTTACTGCGCCGCGTTCGCTTCTTGTAAAGAATTCTATAACCGCACTCTCGACATTGGATCACGTCTCCGGGCTTCAAGGTGTTATCAGCACCGCATTCTGGCACGCATAAACACGACCGAATAACATAAAGGAAATGAGAAAACTAACTGCAGAACAGCTAAAGAAAAGACGCTTCCGAGTAGGAGAGCGGCTTAAGAGCTAACTCGAGGAACCGAGGCCAGGGCGGAAAAGAAGGATCGTACCCCCGCACATGTAAGTTACTGGCTCCTGCGGCGGCATGTATCCCCCTACGTCCGCCATGGCGTTTACTGACCGTAAGAAGGAAAACCTCCAAGCAAGCACTGAGCAGTTACGAACGACTAGCTGATTTCAGACAGCAGGTTCGAGCCAAGTGCTTCCATTGGGAATGCAGGGGTTACTGGGCAGAAAAGGCAGGGTGCGGTGTGTTCAGGACGTGTCGCAGCCTCGCCTTGGTGCGCTTTATCGCGACGCAGGCATTTTTTTTCCGAGACTTCCGTGCTGGCGGGAGCGTGAGTCAACGTGCGCACGAGCTCACACTGATGAACTCGTGACTGATGAGAACCACCCTTTGAACACGCCCCTGACTACTCAAGTTTCCATACAAGGCTAGTGGCAAACACAACTGTATTTTACACACTATCATACATCCCATATATTTAGTTACAGTTTAACGATTGCCTACAGGCTAGACTTGATTGAAAGTAGCCTACATTACATACTCACACATACACATCACAGCTGCACAGCGAGCATAATGAATCAAACTGTGCAGAGAACAGCCCACAAGGAAACTAGAGCTGGTGTGGAACAACCGTATCTACATGCATTGTACTCTGCAAGAGAATTTATTCATGGCACCCTCACCAGAACATCCATTCCTATCAAGGAGAACCACTCAAAAACCCAAGAGAAACGCCAGGCATTACATTCCTGCACACATCACCCAGGCATGTTAACTGCCTACCTTTGGCGCATCACCTATGCTTTTTCCCCTGCTGCCCTCATCCCATCCCTGCTCATGCCTCATCTTCCTGCGAAAAATCTCAAAGTCCTTCCATGGCAAATTGTAAAAGCCTTAGCCATCCCTACTGCCTCTCCCACCTGGCTCCTTCATACCTCTCCATCCTGCCTCTCCCTCCAGTATTCCTCTCCCTCGCGCCCCACTCATCATCACGCATCTTCATTCTTCCACGCCCCTCGCCCTCGGAAGTAATCCCAAGGGCTCGACGGCACACGAGGCGTACTCGCAACCGACGACGCCCCAGCAGCCCTAGGAGTACCACCCCCCATAGGGTGGGGAGCGGTGCCGGGCCGAGAATGGGCATGAGAGAGCGAGGCCGATCGGGGGATGGATGATGGCCCGGAAGGGGGAGGGAGGCGCGGGGAGGCGTTGCGGGGAGTGTGCGAGGCGGCGGTGGGAGTGGAGGGGACGGAGGGGATGGATGTGAGGGGGAAGAGGAAGTGGAAGGTGGGGTCGTCTTGGAGCTCGGGGGGAGGCTCTACCTCGTCCAGGTTTATCTCGGGTAGGCTGTGTACGATCTCGTCCGTTGTGAAGGGGATGCTGTGATGAGAAGGAGGGTAGGAGGGGAAGGGGAAAATGCAGAGAGAAACAAGGTCAAGAAGAGGAGGGAAAAGACGAATAGCACACAGACCCTTGCATGCTTGTGTATCATCCCATCATCAACCCCCTACTCACCAGGTGAAAGAAGGAGTGTTTTGAGACGTCTCAAAACACTCCTTCTTTCCCCTTGCATGCTTGTGTATCATCCCATCATCAACCCCCTACTCACCAGTTCCTGCCCTTGTACTCACCCTTCGCCGTCGCGCAGCAGCATGGGGCTGTCGTCCACCATCTCGCTCCACATCCGCTCTCCTGCGATGCTACAACCAAACATATCAACATGTCCTGTCCCCACAACACTCACCCTTCACCGTCCCTTAGCAGCATGGGGCTGTCATCCACCATCTCGCTCCACATCTGCTCGATCACACTCGGGTCCACGCCCTTGGTGCCGTACTTATCGTCCTCGTACCAAATGCACATGTGCACCAGCTGGTTCATGCTCAGGTCAGGACACAGCATCCTTAACTCCTCAAGAGTTCTCCTCGGCTTGTGGTCCAGGGTCTGGTGGGTTAGGGGAGGGACAGCGGGAAGCAATTGAGTTGAGTTGAACGATCATCACTGGTCATTATTGTACCAGATGCACACGTGCACAGGCAGGCTCACACTCACCGGCACCTCTCCTCTCCATCGCCCGCCCTCACTTGCAGCGCCACCTGCCATATGCTCGTTATCTGATTCTTGACTTGACCCAACAGTCACTTGCCACTCACCAGGAAGAGAATCGTCTGCTGCAGGTGCCGCAGCTCCTTCCTCAGTGGTGCTCTCTCCCCTCCCAGCACCTCACTCAGTTGCACCTCCACATCGTGAACCCACTGCTGCTGTGATCTGCTGCTGCGGTGTGACTTACCGGGCATGGCATATCTTGCTTGCCTTGCCACTCACCAGGAAGAGAATCGTCTGCTGCAGGTGCCGCAGCTCCTTCCTCAGTGGGTCTCTCTCCCCTCCCAGCACCTCCCTCAACTGCACCTCCACATCGTGAACCCACTGCTCCAGACGGCTCAGCCCCTCCTCCATCATCTCGCCGTTGCTGTATGTGCACGGGCACCACTGCGCGCGCACCATCAGGCTGCAATCACGGGGTTGGGAAGAAAAAGAAAAAGAACATGAGGCAACGCCCAGTTGCATGCCCGTCCTTTGTCATCTCGCCATTATCTGCCTGGGGTGGGGTGATAGGGAAACGCAAGTAAGGCAACTTTTGAGGCACCTCAAAACAGATGACCTCAACCCGGCCGGGTTTTGAGGCGCCTCAAAAGCCTTGGGTGCGGCGATAGGGAAACGCAAGTACGGCGTTTTGATGGGTTGGGTTGGGTTGCATCCATTGAGTGTGATCATGCAGTTTAACATTGCATGATCTGATGCGACAAGTCTAGTTTTGAGGCGCCTCAGAACTAGCATCCATTGAGCGTGCATGAGCATGAGCATGAGCATGAGCACGTGAACACTGCATGGTCTGAGGTGACGAGATGCACACCGTAAGATGAGTAAGTTCGCATCAACGTAACTCACTCACTCACTCAACGGAAGAAAAACGCTCACGGTCGCATTTTTCTACTCACTAACTCACCCACCCACCCATGCACTCACTTACCCACTCACTCACTAACTCACCCACCCACCCACCTGTTAAATATCTTCATGTTGACAAAGAACAGCAGCTGGCGAATCAGAGCATCCAGCAGCGCTGCCGGCACGTGATTGGCCACAAGGTTCCCGATGATGTGGCGCAGAGTGATGACCACGTTGGTCCAGGACGACATGATGTGTTTCCGCATCGCTGTCGCCGCGTTGCGCTGCGGCGCCCGGCCCCCCCGCCCCCGCCCCCTCGCCCCTGCCGGGGGGATGCCCGCCCCTCCGTTCTCCCCAGCTTCTGCTCCCTCGCCTGCTTCCGCTTCTGCTCCTCGTGCCTGGAGACGACCGAGGCAGATAGGGTTTGCACAAGAGCAGGGTAAACAGTTGGGAGACGGGAGAGAAGGGAGAGAGGGGTTCAGCGTGACCATTCCCCACACACAGAGCCAACGCCAACCCCCAAATCCACTTCCCAACCCCCGGGGCCATTCCCCAACCCCCAGGGCCATTCCCCAACCCAGAAGACCACTCTTCAACCCCCAAGACCACTCCCCAAACCCCAAGACCACACCCCACCGCACCACACCTGAGGGTTGAAGTGGACGGCGAGCTCTGTCTTGGCACTGTCACGGATGGTTACATACAGCCGCTCGATGCCGGTCGCCAGCTGCTGCTTGAACAGCATCAGATCCACCTGCTGCATCGTTGCGCTGGGTCGCGGCTGGATGGGGAGGTGACAGGGAGGAGTGGAGGGAAGGGAAAGAGTTAGTGAGTGAGTGGCTTCTTGTTGAACCTCCTTGTGCTGCTTGAGGAGCATCAGATCCACCTGCTGCATCGTCGCACTGGGTCGCGGTTGGAGTGGGGGTGGGAGTGATGGGAAGAAAGGTACGGATGGGAAAGAGGTTGAGAACGGTGTATACTCTTGTGGCTTTCACAAGGTCACCTGCTGAACTGTTGTGTTGAAACCCAAGTTGGATGTGATAATGTAATAATGCGATAATGAGACAATATGATTATGTGACAGTGTGATAATGTGATAATGTTGGAAGAGCTGTGCAGGGGAAGAAACTTTGAGACGTCTCAAAACAATAAGGGGTCGAGGCGGGGAGAGAATGAAAGAGCAATAACTGCATCACATTACATCAGAGCCTGACAGGACCACAAACTTACCCACAGCACCGCATGTCACCCCACAGCACTGCATTGCATCTCACCGGAGTGGGGGGGCGAGCGCCGAAGAAGCCAAACGTGGTGACGCGCTCCAACTTGGGCTTCTCTGCTGGGGCCTTGTACACCACCTGGGAGGGGAGGGGGGGCGGGGGAGTTGGAAGGGTTTAGGGACAGGGGGAGCAGCTTGAGCTTCGGGGGAGGGAGGGGTTCAGCCAGCTGCAGGTTTCGGGTTTAGGGACAAGGGGAGAAGCTTGGGCTTCTCTGCTGGCGGCTTGTACGCCACCTGGGGAGGAGGGGAGGGGAGAGAGGGGGGAGAGGGTGGAGAGGGCGAAGGAGAACTGAAAAGGAGGGGATATTGAAAACGGAAGACGGAAATGGGGCAGGAATTTGTGGGGGGGAAATGAGGGTATGGAATCCTGCACAGGGGCTTTACATGGGAAAACGCCCTCACACACTACGTCATCTAATTTATACTCCACCCTGGCACCTACTACCTAACCTTCATGCCTAACCCTCCCCAGTTCCCGCCTGCACCAGATACAGCAGCACTGCGTGGTTGCTGCGCCAATAACTCAAGGTGCTCATGTCATTGGAGTGAAACACCATCATCCCAGATCCCACCACACCAGTACCTCCCCCGAACCCCCCGCCACCCCTAGCACCCACCTGCACGAGGTACAGCAGCACGACGTGGTTGCTGAGCCAGTAGCTGAGCGTGCTCATGTCATCAAGCGTGAGACCATCTGGAAGGTCTCGATGATTTGTCTTCCACACCTGCACCCACCTGCACTGCACCCACTCCCATCCCCTCCCACCCCAACACCCACCTCCAACCCCCGTAGCAGCACCCACCTGCACGAGGTACAGCAGCACAACGTGGTTGCTGAGCCAGTAGCTGAGCGTGCTCATGTCATCGAGCGTGAGACCATCTGGAAGGTCTCGATGATTTGTCTTCCACACCTGCACCCACCTGCACTGCACCCACTCCCATCCCCTCCCACCCCAACACCCACCTCCAACCCCCGTAGCAGCACCCACCTGCACGAGGTACAGCAGCACAACGTGGTTGCTGAGCCAGTAGCTGAGTGTGCTCATGTCATCGGAGCGAGACACCATCTGGAAGGTCTCAATGATTCGGTCAAACGCGTTGGTCTTCTCGGCCTGGAACACTCGCCAGTGCAGCAGCGACCGGTACACCACACACGCTGCCACCGGCTGGCCTTGCGGACCGAAGGGGAAGCGGCTCACCGCAATCTCGTTCAGAAGCACCTCCTGATGAGGGGGGGTGTGGGAGGGTGGGGGACAAGAAGATGAAAAGGAAAGGCGAGAGAGAGGGGGGAACGAGTTGGTATTTTCTGCCAGGCCGCCACAGGTTGAGCCTATGAGGCGGAGATACAGAGTGGGTGGGAGGGAGTGCCACCTCGTTCACGCTTGATGCTAGACACAGGCCCACTCTGATTGGCGGCACAGCGTGGCGGCACAGAGTGGCGGCACAGAGTGGCGGCACAGAGTGGCGGCACAGAGTGGCGGGACAGGTCACTCTGAGATGCGAGAGGGCAGATGCAGGGATGGATGGCAGGAGGAGCGAAGAAGAGTGAGAGGGGAGAGAGATACAAAAGAAGGGGGAGGGATATGAAAGTGGAGGAAGAGAGACGAACAAGAAGGATAAGAATAGGAGAGGAGGGTGAGGACGAGGAGAAAAGTGCAGGGGAGGGGGTGGAAGATGAGGGAAAATATTAGGCGAAAGGAAAATATTAGGCGACAGGAAAATCTGCAGAGTGCGCTGCGTGAGAGCTCACCTGCTGCTTGTCGATGGGCATGGCCGGATTGGCATTGGCCATGCTGGCCTGGAAGGCAATCAGCCTCTGACTCAACGTGCGCACCTCGCGTGATCTCCTGCGGTGAAAAAAGAGAGTGGAGAGGATACGAGGGGGAGTAAGGAGGTGTGTGTTTGTGTGTGCGTGCGCATCAGGGAAGGAGTAAGGAAAACAGCGTGGTGAGCGGAAGCATTCTCACCTCCTTGCAGCTAGAAAATACAGCGTGGTGAGCGGAAGCATTCAGGAGAGCACATGGATGTTTAAGGAACTTGCAGCTAGAAAATACACATCCAAAGCAGCCTCACACCCAACCACCCATTCTCACTCAACCACCCATTCTCACTCAACCACCCATTCTCACTCAACCACCCATTCTCACTCAACCACCCATTCTCACTCAACCAACCACCCTCACTCAACCAACCACCCTCACGCAAGAGGATGCACCCAACCTTTTGAAATTTCTCAAAAGGGATTTCCTCGTGCTAATGCCTCGTGTATCTCCACCTTCCCACTTTTGATCTACCCAACCACCACACCAGCACTAGACAACCAACCCATATACCCCACCCCACCGTCCCCAATCACCCTACCACCCGCCCGCACTCACCCGAGCAGCTTCTCCTGCAGCTCATGGCATCGTGCCAGGGCCTCCCGCATCTCCTCCTCCCGCGCTGCCACGTTCCTCTCCGCCTCTTCCGCCCTCGCCCTCTCCGCCCCCGCCAGTGCTGCCGCCACCTCTGCTTTGTGCACTGCCTCTTTGTACGCTGCCCGCAACCAGTTGTTCTCCTCCCGCATCTGATGAGGGAGGTGGGGAGCAGAGTAAAGGACACAGGGATGACATGGGCCCGCATGTGCCGCCAGTGCCGCCGCCACCTCTGCCTTGTGCACCGCCTCCTTGTATGCTGCCCGCAGCCAGTTGTTCTCCTCGCGCATCTGGTGTGGGGCAAGGGAGAGAGAGCGGACAAGAGTGAGGGATAGATTGCACCTCTTTACAATGTGAAACAGCTCTCATATGCGATTCCAAGGCACCCAAGAATCTCTGTCTTCTGTGCGATCTCACCTTCTCTGAAAGCTCACCTTCTGTGCAATCTCCACTTCGCGCTGCATGCTCGCAAGGATCTTATCAAAGTTGCTCGCCGAAAACGTCAAACTCTTCCCCCGCGGCGTCCCCGCCCCACTCCCCCCAGGAGTGGGCGGCGTCCCCATCCCCATCCCCACGCCTCCCCGCGGCGACGCCTCACTCGCCCCACTCCTAGCCGATCTCGACCCCACTCCACCCAGCTTCCTCCCACTCCACGACCCCTCCTCCCCTCGCCCCACCCGCGCTCCCCCTTCAAACTCCCGAGCGGGCGAGCCCCGGAACGAGCTGCTCCCATACCGCCCAAACTCCTTCCCTCCCGCTCCACCCCCTCCCGCGCCAGCCGACATTCTCCTGGGCCGTTCTGAACTAAGCGGACCCCTGTCGGCACTCAGCGGCCCTCGGTCCTGCTCGGCTGCTGCCCCACCCTCGTGGTCCAAGTCACCGTCCTCTGAGGGGACCTGCCAGTTGGATCCTGAAGAGGAGGCAGCACGGGGGCGCATGGGACGCCTGCTGCTGTCGCTGCCCGCGCCGCTGGGAGGCAGAGGGGCGCCCCCCCCTGGGCCTACACTTGCCGCTGCTCCCCCGGCTGCTGCTCCTGCTCCTGCTGCTGTCCCTGCTGCTGCTCCTGCAGTGGCAGCAGCAGCGGCGCCACTGGTGGTGGAACCAGCACCAACGTCTAGAGTGAGCCGATCGCGGATGGCACTAGCGCCGGCTGATAGCGGCGAAACAGGTCGCGGTTTCCCTCCCTTGTGCTCCTCACCTCCCGCTGCTGCTGCACCTTCCCCTTGCCCCTCACCCTTTCCTCCCTGCACCTGCTCCTGCCCCTTCTCCTGAGCCTGCTGCTGCTTCCTGTGACCTTGATCCTCCTGCTCCTCCTTCCCATCACTGTCGTTTCCTCTGTTGCCATCGCCGTCATTTCCTCTGTTCCCTGCCCTCTCTTCTGCCTCCACTAGATCCGCCTCGCTTTGTGCAGATCTTTCCAGAATTGGCGGCAAGAAATGGTTGGCAAGGGCCGTCCTGTCTGCGCCGCCCTCCACCCCCACCACAACACACTCCTTCTCCCTATCCCCCTCCATCGCCACCTCTTTCACCTCCTCCATTCCCTCGTCTCCCTCCTCTCCCTCTCCCTCGCCTTGCACAGGCCTTCTTGCATGGTCAGCACGAGGATCAATAGAAGCAGCACTGGCAGCAGCGGCACTGGCAGCAGCAGCAGCAGCAGCAGCAGCGGCGGCAGCAGCAGAAGGGGCTCTCCTGGGCGATACGGGAGGTCGTCGGGAGGAGGGAGAGGCAAGGGAGCGGAGGGAGGAAGGAGACACGGGAATGCCTCCTGATGCCTCCACTCCCCCTCCGCACCGAGCACACAGCACAGGACCCGGGTGCATCACTGCAGCCTCTGCCACCCTTCCTGCCACCCCTGCCACTGCTGCTGCCACTGCTGCTGCTGCTGCTGCTGGAGCTGCTGCTGTTGACGCTGCAGCTGACACTGCTTCTTCTGCTGCTGCTGCAGCAGCAGCGGCTGCATCTCCTCCCGCCTCGTCTCTAGACCCTGCCGCAACCCCTGCTGCTTCAGTCGCTCCCACCGCCCCGTCAACAGCCGCCTCTGCTGCAGCTGCCGCATTTGCCAACATCCTAGCCTCATCCCTAGCAGCAGCACCATCACCAACGCCACAACCAACAGCAGCAGCAGCAGCAGCAGAAGCAGCAGTGGGCGTATGACTCAGCGCATCAGGCAACACAGAGAGCTCTTTCATCTTCACCAAGTGCTGCTGCTGCTCCTCCCGCTGCTCCTCCCGCTCCGCCACCATTTCCCTCACCTCCGCCTCTGCAGCCTCCGCCCTGGCCTGTTCCGCATCGAGCATCTCCTGCAGCCGGGCTATCTCCCTGCCTCGAGCTGCAATCTCCCTGCCCCGCCGCTCCACCTCCTCTCGTGCCTCCGCCAGCTGCCGTTCCAACGCCTGCCGCCCCTTCTCCGCCTTGTCCTGGGGTAGGGGAGTGGGGAGAGTGGGGGAATGGGTGACACGGAGGGAGTTAAGTGATATGGAGGGGAATGGGTGACACGGAGGGAGTTAAGTGATATGGAGGGGCATGGGATCGCATTGGTATCAGACACCACCGTCAAACTCATCTGATCTGCTTCCAGCCCCCCCTCTCCACCCCTCTCCACCCCTCTCTCAGGCCGTGACTCGCCTCTCTAGACTCTTGCTTTGTGGCGTCCCAAAGCTCGTCTCTGCCTCTCTTGCTTCTGCAGCCGGTGTTCCAAAGCCTGCCGTCCTTCTAACAGATTGTTATCTATTGCCACCTTCTTCTTCCTGTAGGTCACTGCGCCACCCTCTATACTGTCACACTTCCCATACAGTCACACTCTGCCCTCCAACCAACTCCCCATACAGTCACACTCACCCGTTGCACCCGCTGCACCATCATGCGGATCGTATCCATCGCCACCTCAGTCTTCTTGCGTGGTGGGGCCCTAGCCTTATACAATCACAGTCCCCACTCCACGGCCCCCATCCCCCCGTACAGTCACACTCACCCGCTGCACGCGCAGCACCATCATGTGGATCGTATGCATCGCCACCTGTACCTTCTTGTCCATCAGTGTGCTAATCTCTTTACTATCACATGCCCCTATTAAACCCCCATACAGTCACACACACTCACCCGTTGCACCCGCAGCACCATCATGCGGATCGTATCCATCGCCACCTCCGTCTTGTACGTGGTGTGCTACCTTCTATACTGTCACACTTCCCATACAGTCACACTCACCCTCTGCACGCGCAGCACCATCATGCGGATCGTATCCATCGCCACCTCCGTCTTCTTGCGTGGCGGCGCCAGCTCAGCAATGCGAGTCGCCTCCTGTGATTGGTGGAATGGAAGGAAGGGGATGAAAGCAGAGGAGCAAGCAAGCGTAACCACAAGGTTGGGAGCTGCAAGGAAATAAATTTGGCAAAAACTGAAAGGAGAAGAGTCAGCATGGGTCAAGTCATTGCTACATATGATGTGGTCTGGAACGATGGTGGGGGGTGACAAGGGCTGACATTTGAGTCGACTCAAAAGTCAGCTCTGGAACGATGGTGGGAGGTGGGGTCACAAGGGCCCAACCAGGAGGGGAGGAGTTGGGGATGGATTAGTTGGGGAGTGTGGAAATTAGAGACGTCTTAAAAGAGGGGAGGAGTTTGGGATGGATGAGTGTGGATAGATCGGTTGGGGAGTGTGGATAGATCGGTTGGGGAGTGTGGAAATTAGAGAGATAGAGGACGAATGGGAAGACATTCGATAGGTGGGAGGGATACACTTCTGATCAATTAAAAAAGGATATCAAATTGACCAGGCACAGGCACGCACCAGCTTGAGGTTCTTATACCGCAGCCTGGCCAGCCGGGCAAAGAAGTACTGCCGCAGGGCCTTCCAGGGCTTGCGCGCTGCATAGCCCCGCCAGTGACACTGGGGAGAAAGGGAGGCGGGAAGAGGGGAGGGGGAGATGGGGAGAGGGGGAGGCCGGGGGAGAGGGAGAGGCCGGGGGAGAGGGGGAGGCCGGGGGAGAGGGGGAGGCCGGGGGAGAGGATGCAGATGGATAAAAAACATGGGAGGGCTTGCAAGGCGCGTAACTGCTCCAGTGGCTATGGAGAGAGGCGGGTAGAGGGGGGCAGAGCGGGAGTGGGAGAAGACTGGCGGGTAGGCTAGGAGGGGAGGTGTGGGGCAATGGCGAGGTGAGGTGGTGCGGATGAAAGGGAGCATGCATGGGGTCTATTTTTTAGGCGCCTCGAAAATAGGCGTGGGGCAATGGGGAGGTGAGGTGGTGTGGATGAAAGAGAGCATCATGCATGGGGCGGATGGGGTGCCCGTGGATGGGGTGCCCGTGGATGGGGTGCCCGTGGATGGGGTGCCCGTGGATGGGGTGCCCGTGGATGGGGTGCCCGTGGATGGGGTGCCCGTGGATGGGATGCCCGTGGATGGGGTGCCCGTGGATGGGGTGCCCGTGGATGGGGTGCCCGTGGATGGGATGCCCGTGGATGGGATGCCCGTGGATGTCGGGGGGTGAACATCAAACTGCCTTCCAGGGCTTGCGAGGAGAAGACAGGTGGGGGGGATGATCCTGTCCCCACAAAAAAACCACTGGCACACACCTGAATGTGGGTGGCAGCGAGATTATCCCGCATGTGCAGGTAGCGCGTGCGATAGAGGTGCATGCGGTACTTGGCTTGGATGGTGATTGCTGCCCGCCGCAGCACGAGGAAGCGCATGCGCTGCTGCCTGCCCCGCTCCATGCGCTGGATGCACGTTGCTGCCAGGCGCTGACGCAGGTGGTACACGAACTCCCGTGCCTTGAAGGCTGGAAGGGGGGGTGAAGGAAAGGAGGGGATAGGAGGGATGGTGTGAGGAAGCGCATGCACTGCTGCCGGCCCCGCTCCATGCGCTGGATGCACATTGCTGCCAGGCGCTGCCGCAGGTGGTACACGAACTCCCGTGCCTTGTAGGCTGGAGGGGAAGCGGGGGGGAAGGCAAAGAAGAGGTAGATGCCGAGGGGCAATGTGAAGTGAACAGACTGAGAGCGACAGTAGAGAGATGCAAACGCAACGCAGCGCTGGAGGCAGCTCACCGCGTCTTTTAAGGCGCCTCAAATCTAATCCCACTCACCGCGCCAGAGCTTCTGGATGCAGAGGGCAGCGCGGGCGCGGTGCAGGCGGAAGAGGAAGCGGCGCGTGGCACGCTGAATGCGGGCGGCAGCAGCGTTCATGATCTCCAGCCGGCACGTCTCCATTAGGGCCATCTGCCCCGCTCGTAGGAATATCTTTGACTTTCCGATCTGGGGGGGGGGAGAGGAGAGGGCGTAAAGAATGGATGGGGGGGACGGGAGGAGTGAATGCTATTTGCGTGGGTGTGTGCAGCTGCAGCAGCGTTCATGATCTCCAGTCGGCACGTCTCCATTAGGGCCATCTGCCCCGCTCGCAGGAATATCTTTGACTTTCCGATCTGTGGGAGGGGGAGAGGGTGCAGAGAATGGATTGGGGGGGATGCACGGGAGGAGTGAATGCCATTGCATGAGGGTGTGCAGCGTTCATGATCTCGAGACGGCACGTCTCCATCAGCACCATCTGGCGCGCTCGCAGAAATATTTTCGACTTGCCAATCTGGATGGGGATAGAGCAGGGAGTGGAGTGGAAATGCATGCACTGGCATGAGTGTGCGAAGCAGCAGCAGCAGCAGCTGGAGCGTTTGTGGACGCACGCACGTACGCACACACACACACACACACACACACACACACACACACACACACACACACACACACACACACACACACACAAACAAACCAACCCACCCACATACACATCAGCATACACCTACCCCCTCGCTGACACGCACACACACATCCATCCACCCACCGACCCGCATACACTCACACAGGAACCGCATACACTCACACAGGAACCGCATACACTCACACAGGAACCGCATACACTCACACAGGAACCGCATACACTCACACAGGAACCGCATACACTCACACAGGAACCGCATACACTCACACAGGAACCGCATACACTCACACAGGAACCGCATACACTCACACAGGAACCGCATACACTCACACAGGAACCGCATACACTCACACAGGAACCGCATACACTCACACAGGAACCGCATACACTCACACAGGAACCGCCACGAGCTCACCTGGTAATTCTCCAGCTTGGCATGGCGCAGAATGACCTCCACGTACTCAGGGTCCGACATTCTGCACGTAAGGCGGCACAGGGGGGCGAGAACGGGTTAGGATTGAGCCTTTGGATGGCAGCTCGAAGGTGAGCACCAGAACAGGCTCCAGCTTGGCATGGCGCAGAATAATTAATCTCCACCCGTACTCCAGTCAGACATTCTGTTGTGCATCCGCAGCAACACAGGGGGGTGAGAATGGGATGGGAGTGAGTGCATGGGAGTGAGTGCATGGGAGTGAGTGCATGGGAGTGAGTGCATGGGAGTGAGTGCATGTGAGTGAGTGCATGGGAGTGAGTGCATGGGAGTGAGTGCATGGGAGTGAGTGCATGGGAGTGAGTGCATGGGAGTGAGTGCATGTGAGTGAGTGCATGGGAGTGAGTGCATGGGAGTGAGTGCATGGGAGTGAGTGCATGGGAGTGAGTGCATGGGAGTGAGTGCATGGGAGTGAGTGCATGGGAGTGAGTGCATGGGAGTGAGTGCATGGGAGTGAGTGCATGGGAGTGAGTGCATGGGAGTGAGTGCATGGGAGTGAGTGCATGGGAGTGAGTGCATGGGAGTGAGTGCATGGGAGTGAGTGCATGGGAGTGAGTGCATGGGAGTGAGTGCATGGGAGTGAGTGCATGGGAGTGAGTGCATGGGAGTGAGTGCATGGGAGTGAGTGCATGGGAGTGAGTGCATGGGAGTGAGTGCATGGGAGTGAGTGCATGGGAGTGAGTGCATGGGAGTGAGTGCATGGGAGTGAGTGCATGGGAGTGAGTGCATGGGAGTGAGTGCATGGGAGTGAGTGGGAGTGAGTGCATGGGAGTGAGTGCATGGGAGTGAGTGCATGGGAGTGAGTGCATGGGAGTGAGTGCATGGGAGTGAGTGCATGGCAGCACGCAGCGCAGGTGGGCACGCAGGAGGGTAACGGGCAGCGGAACGGGCTCCAGCTTGGCTGCCATGGCGCAGAATGACTTTTGAGTCGACTCAAAAGGCAACGGAACAGGCTCCAGCTTGGCTGCCACGCAGAATGACTTTTGAGTCGACTCAAAAGGCAACGGAACAAGCTCCAGCTTGGCTGGCATGGTATGAGCACACAGCAGCAGCACACGACGGCATGAGAATCAGGTCAGAACAAGAGAGAGTAGACTCCAGCGTGGCATGGTGCAGAATGGCTGTACACAGATTCCGACATTCTGAGGGTTGGGATGTGCGTGCAGTGCAGTGGGTGCAGGGGAGGGGGTTTGCATTGCAGGGAAGGACAGTGCACGGAGGTCGTGTGAGAACAAGGGCACGACGGGGGACTGAGGTGACTTCTGAGTCGACTCAAAAGTCACGTCACCGCATTGCAGGGATGGACAGTGCACGGAGGTCGTGTGAGAACAAGGGCACGAGGGGGACTGAAAAGGTGATAGTGAGTGAGGTGAGGGGGTCATGCAAGAGAGGGAAATCAAAATGAGTGAGGGGGCTCCAGAGAGGTGAGAGTCCAAAGTGAGTGAGGCAGCCTGAGTGAGAGAAAAGGGCCCAGACCAAAGTGAACGAGGGAGTGAGGGCGTCTTGAAAAGAGAAGAACACAGGGAGAGAAACGGAGAGGGAGAAAAAAAATGGGGGGAGAGGAGAGGACGAGGCCAGGTAGAATGGAACGGGAAGAAAGTGAAAACGAGGAGAGAAGGAGAGTTGACGGGTCGATGGAGTATGGGAGCAGGCACAGAGAATACGGGACTCACTCCTTGTCAAAGAGCGAGGGCACGAGCAGCGAGAATCTGTCGATGAAGTCGTCAAAGAGGCGGCGAGTGGGGTAGCCCGCCGAGCACATGCGAATGGCCTCCAACACTCCCTGCACGGCGCACCACACCGCACCACACCACACCACACCACACCGCAGCGCAGTGCACCATACCACACCAAAACACGCCGCATCACACCACACCACACCACGCGGTAATTGGGCATTGCTTTATGGGTGAGACTGGGAGGAGTTCTGTAGGCGCCTCAAACCACGGAAAAACATGAGCATGCCGTAAGAGGGGGCAGCCGCGCACATGCGCTTAGAGACCAGGATGGGGGACAGGCAGCAAGCATGTGATGCCAGCAAGCATGTGATGTCAGCAAGCATGTGATATGATGTCAGCAAGCATGTGATATGATGTCAGCAAGCATGTGATGTCAGCAAGCATGTGATGTCAGCAAGCATGCGATGTCAGCAAGCATGTGATGTCAGCAAGCACGTGACGTCAGCAAGCATGTGATGTCAGCAAGCATGTGATGTCAGCAAGCATGTGATGTCAGCAAGCATGTGATGTCAGCAAGTGTGTGATGTCAACAAGCGTGTGATGTCAGCAAGCGTGTGATGTCAGCAAGCATGTGACGTCAGCAAGCATGTGATGTCAGCAAGCATGTGATGTCAGCAAGCGTGTGATGTCAGCAAGCGTGTGATGTCAGCAAGCGTGTGATGTCAGCAAGCATGTGATGTCAGCAAGTGTGTGATGTCAGCAAGCATGTGATGTCAGCAAGCGTGTGATGTCAGCAAGCATGTGATGTCAGCAAGCGTGTGATGTCAGCAAGCATGTGATGTCAGCAAGCATGTGATGTCAGCAAGCGTGTGATGTCAGCAAGCATGTGATGTCAGCAAGCGTGTGATGTCAGCAAGCATGTGATGTCAGCAAGCGTGTGATGTCAGCAAGCGTGTGATGTCAGCAAGCATGTGATGTCAGCAAGCATGTGATTTCAGCAAGCATGTGACGTCAGCAAGCATGTGATGTCAGCAAGCATGTGATGTCAGCAAGCATGTGATGTCAGCAAGCATGTGATGTCAGCAAGCATGTAACGTCAGCAAGCATGTGACAAGCGGGGGGATGGGGAAGCATGTGTGTGATGTGATGCATCCATCCATCCTGTACCACACCACTGCAGCTGCACACTGCGCCGCATGCCGCAGCACACAGAGCACTTTGAAAGAAATCTATTTTATTCTACGTCTCGAAAAATCACTTTCTTCACGTGGCATGTGTGTGATGCAACAGCATGTTTTGACACGTCTCAAAACACTTCTGAACCACACCACTGCAGCTGCACACTGCACAGCATGCCGCAGCATAGAGCCCTTTCCCCTCACTCGTCCCCGTCCCTTTTCTCATCCCCTGATCGCACCACCACCACCACGAACTTCTCAATTAGCTCTCAACCCGACATCTCACTCCCGTCCACATTACCCACACACCCCCCATCCCCTCATCCCCCGCACTCACCCCCGATCGCAGCTGCTCCACCACCATGTCTTCTCAAACAGCCCAACCCAACCCTTGTCCCCCATCCTTCGCACTCCTCACTCCTCCACCCCCATCCCCTCATCTCTCGCACTCACCCCCGATCGCAGCTGCTCCACCACCATGTCTTCTCAAACAGCCCAACCCGACCCTCCCATCCTTCGCACTCCTTCTCACTCCTCCACCCCCATCCCCTCATCTCTCGCACTCACCCCCGATCGCAGCTGCTCCACCACCATGAACTTCTCAAGCAGCACTAGCCAACCCTTCTACCCCATACTTGCACTCCTTCTCAGTCCTTCCCCCCCATCCCCTCGTCTCTCGCACTCACCCCCGATTGCAGCTGCTCCACCACCATGCTCTTCTCAAACAGCCCAACCCGACCCTTGTCCCCCATCTTTTGAACTCCTTCTCACTCCTTCTCACTCCTCCCCCCTCATCCCTTACTCCCCCCGTCGCACTCACCCCCGATCGCAGCTGCTCCACCACCATGCTCTTCTCAAACAGCGCCGGCCGGCTCTTGGAGTTGGGCTTGATGCACCGGATGTAGTGCGGTTCTGTGCGGTTCAGCGTGTCCATCAGCTGCGACAGTTGTAACTGCACAGTGACAAAACAAAGGATGTAAAACAGGGAGAAAAAAACAAGCAAACAAGGCCCAGGAAGAAGAGGTATTTTTTTCCTTGTCCTACGCCCTTTCGTGCAAGATCTTGCACTATCATCTTAATCATAGCACTATCATCTTAATCATAGCACTATCATCTTAATCATAGCACTATCGTCTTAATCAATGGCCACATGTTGATTCTCGCCTTCAACAGTCACACATACCCTTAGTTCAGGGTTACAGGTTCAAGGTTTCTGGTTTGGGGTGCTGCATGCATCACTCACCTTGAACGATTTCCCCAACGACGCGAACTTGGTGGTGGCCTTGCCGCCCTTCCCTCCGCCCTCCTTCACCTCCTCTTGAGCCGCAGGGAACAGCGCGGCCACAAACGGGTCGGTGGACTTCTGCAGCAGCGCCTCGTGCTCTGATACCACGGCGTCGAGGTTCTTGCTGATGAACTCCATGGTGCTGTACTTAACTCGCCCCGCGTAGTGCTCCAGCGTGAAGTCAGTGACGGAGCCCTTGGACTTGGTGAATCGCTCGTGCTTCAAAAAGGCGTCGTACAGCGACATGGTGAATGATTCCGGTGTGGACTGGGCTAGCTTGCTGGGGGGGGGGGGGGAGCAGGGAGGGAGGAAGGGAGGGAGGGAGCAAGAGAGTAAAAGAGAGAGAGAGAGAGAGAGAGAGAGAGAGAGAGAGAGAGAGAGAGAGAGAGAGAGAGAGAGAGAGAGAGAGAGAGAGAGAGTGAGTTCCTCTGTGTGATGAACCCGTGGTGCTGTACTTGACCCGCCCCGCGTAGTGCTCCAGCGTGAAATCCGTGACAGAGCCCTTGGACTTGGTGAATCGCTCGTGCTTCAGAAAGGCATCGTAGAGAGACATGGTGAATGATTCCGGTGTGGACTGGGCTAGCTTGCTGGCAAAGGGGGGGCGGAAACAGGGGGGAGGGGAACGGTGGGGCAGGGAGTAGACATGAGCAAATGACAAAAACGAACGTGTTTGCCACGAACCTCAACGAACACCAAAGGTTGGCGAACCAAACCCGTTCGGTTTGCCACGAACCAATCTCCTGAAGTAGGTGTTCGCGTGTTCGTGGTCACTGGCGAACGCTTAAGGTTTGCCACGAACCTCTTAGGTCGTATCCCTGGCTGGTGGCAAGAAGTTAGTGGCAAGAAGTTGGTTGCGCACGCGATTGGTTAAAAAAACCGCTTGACCAATCGCATTGGCCGGTCGTCTGTTTTGGACCAATCGCGCGCGGAAACTTCTTGCCACCAACTTCTTGCCACCAGCCAGGGATACGACCTTAGACGTTTGAGGCAAAATTGAACCTGTTCGGGTTGGGTGCCATCCTACACTGCCGAAACGAGGGCGAAATGCTTTTAACTCCCTAATGACTAAGAATAGGCACTATTTAAGGATAGTGTAGTGGCTGTTTGCCAAAATTGAACCGTATAACTAGAAAACGCTAGAAAAATGTTGACCAAAAAACGCATTATCTGAACCTTAATCACGTCATTTCCTTAGTAACTAACCACCCTAGACCAAAATGCTCGAATTCATGTGTTTCCAGAGCGACTGTGTGTATGGAGGGAATAACAATGGTGGATCTGCTCATTTAAGCTCGATTTGAGCTCAAATGACGAGCGTGTTCACTACATACCCGTTCGCGGCAAACCTGTTTTAAGGGCGAACGCGTTTGCGTTCGCCCTATGTCCCACGAACGCGACGAACATCACGAACGTGTTTCTAACGAACTGGGGGCGTTCGTCACGAACGTTTTTGGGCAAAAAAAAAAAAAAACCCTTCAGTTCGTCACGAACGCGTTGGTGACGAACCGAACAGGGGCTCGCAATTTTGCTCAAGCCTAGCAGGGAGGAGGGGAGGGAGCAAGAGAATATGACGAGAGGGGGGGTTCTTCTGTGTGGTGAATCGCTCGTGCTTCAAGAAGACGTCATAGAGAGGCATGGTGAAGGACTCTGGTGTGGACTGGGCTAGCTTGCTGTGGATGGTGAGCGGGAGAAGGGATGGGGAGAGAAAGAGAAGGAGTGTTTCAAGCACCGCACGAATCATGAAGCAGCATGGTGAAAGGGGCTCGCTCGATCGTGGACTGGGCGAGTTTGGTGGAGGAGAAGTGGGGTTCAAAGCGCGAGCCAGCGTGGGTGGAGTCACAACCAAGCTTGAGTTACTTTCTATTCAAAAACTCTCAAAAGTCCTCTATTTGGTGCATGACAGAGCTCTTGCACTTATTGAGTGCGTCGTGCGTGAGCACCGTTTTTAATGCAAGGCGCTTGAAAAAGGGGAGATGGTGATAGACTGGGGTGTAGAGAGACAGACACGATCAGGCCAGTAGAGCGAGGGAGAGGGAACGTACCAGGCCGAATCTAACAGTGTGAGGATGCCCTTATCCTGCAGCAAGAGCGATAGCAAGAGCACGGAATAGCAGAGGACGCATGCGCAGATGGGACGTTAGAATGACAGGCAGGAACAATGATACATGTGCGTGTGGAGGAGGGGTGTGTGTGTGGCAACCTTTGAGGTGCCTCAAAACCGATGCATATGCGTGCGTGCAGAGTGTACCATACCAGCAACAACGCTGTCTGAAACACGAGATGGTACAGTGCCAGTTCCACATGCAAATCGCAGATGAAACCAAGTCTAGCACTGATACAAAATATTCCAAAAAACAGCTCACTCGCCCCACCCATCAAGATCACCTCACCCCGTCAACGAGGTCTAACAAATCCTGGTTGTCGCGGAAGTTGATGTAGCTCCAGTTGACTTCCTCTAAGAGCTCACACTCGTACCCATCAACTCACGCCTCCCACTAGTCCACTCATCATCACCCCTCTCATCCCACCCAGAAGCTCACTCCCACCCATCAACTCACCCCTCCCACTAGTCCACTCATCATCACCCCTCTCATCCCACCCAGAAGCTCACTCTGTTAGTGTTAGCCTTCAATCTCACACTTTGTACTTTGTATTTTCTATATCCTAGAGTAGTGTAGTTTGCACATTGTGTTTGGTTGGGTGTACACCTACATCCCAACCAAACCCAAATGTAATCTCCAAGCAATCTCCAACCCACCAATTGGAGATTGCCTTGGGGTAACCCCCAATCCCTATGGATTGCCCCCGATTCCCTTCCCCATCCATTCCCTCCCCTTCTTGGATGTACTTAAAGAGCTTCAAGCTCATTACTAATGTATCGCTTCTAAGCCTAAGTTATGAGACACTCCCACCCATCAACTCACCCCTCCCACTAGTCCACTCATCATCACCCCTCTCATCCCACCCAGAAGCTCACTCCCACCCATCACCTCACCCCTTCAACGAGGTCTAGCACATCCTGGTTGTCTCTGAAGTTGATGTAACTCCAGTTGATCTCTTCCCGCTCGTACTCCTCCTGTTCCAGCTTCAACACGTGCTGGTGTGTTGGGATGGGGAATAATTATGAGCATATGGAGTGGATGAGTAGGGGGGAGAGGAGGGGTAGAGAGGAGAGGAGACTTCAAACCAGCTCCAACCAAAAAGAGGGGAGTAGTGGCTGAGATGGTGGCTGCTGGAACGGAACGACTGACGTGGTGCATGGGCATTGTTCCAAGCTGTTGGTGTACTGTGCAGGGATGGGGGCTTCTTGGAGCTTCATGCATTACCTGGTTGAAGTGTTGTTGGAGCTTCATGCATTACCTGGGTGAAGTGTTGTTGGAGCTTCATGCATTACCTGGTTGAAGTGTTGTTGGAGCTTCATGCATTACCTGGTTGAAGTGTTGTTGGAGCTTCATGCATTACCTGGTTGAAGTGTTGTTGGAGCTTCATGCATTACCTGGTTGAAGTGTTGTTGGAGCTTCATGCATTACCTGGTTGAAGTGTTGTTGGAGCTTCTCATTGGCCAGATTGATGCAAAACTGCTCAAAGCTGGTGCGGGGCAGAGGGGTGGGGGAAGGGGAAGGGGGGGAGGAGAGGGGGAGCGGAGCGGGGGAGTCAGCAGGGGGATATACAAGGTGAATACAAGCTGTGGATCTACGTTGACTGAAGTTGTAGTCCAGTCAGTGCGAGCTCAGATCACCATTTACCATTATACCACGCACCTGACATATGAGGCGCCTCAGAATTTAAATACGCACCTGTTGAGCTTGAAGTGCTCGAAGCCGTAGATATCGAGCACCCCAATGAGGGTTTTTGAGAGGTCTAGAAAACCAGCACACAACCGCACACAACCGCACCTGTTGAGCTTGAAGTGCTCGAAGCCGTAGATATCGAGCACGCCAATGAGGGTTTTTGAGAGGTCTAGAAAACCAGCACACAACCGCACACAGCCGCACCTGTTGAGCTTGAAGTGCTCGAAGCCGTAGATATCGAGCACGCCAATGAGCGCCATGGAATTAGCGTCTTGCCCAATGGACCGATTCACCTTCTCCACTATCCTGTGTTTAAGAGGGCGGGTGTGTGGAGGGCGGGTGTGTGGAAGGAAAAAGAGAGGTGTCAGTGATCCTGAGAAAGAGAGGGAGAGGGAGCATTGGCGTCTGCCCAATGGACCGATTCACCTTCTCCACGATCCTGACCTGAGTTTGGATGGGTGCGTGGGTGGGATGGGATGGGGTGAGAGCGTGCACAAACATCCAACGATTTGTTGACAGAGGATTCGACGAGTCATGCACGACAGACAGACAGCCTGGAGGCGGATGGGGGTGCCCACCAGTCAAAGAGCTTGGAGTAGAGTGTCTTGGCGAGCGTGTCTCTGCGCACCACAGCCCCCTTCTCGTCCAGATAGCTCTTGATCACCTCGCCTCCCACCTTGCGCCTCAATGTGCATAGTGACTCCTGTAGCTTCTTCTTGTCGCACCTGAGGGGGAGTTGGGACAGGGATGTGAAGTGGGGGAAAAGAGGCGTTGTGTTGCATGCGAAACAGCACGGTGTAATCAAAGCATCACCTCACCTCACACCTTGCGCTTCAATGTGCATAGTGACTCCTGTAGCTTCTTCTTGTCGCACCTGCGGGGGACGGGGGGGGACAGAGAAGAGAGGAGGAAAGGGGTGGTACATCAGAACACGCATGGTCTAATCAAAGCATTTAGTTTGCCTTCCACCTTTCGCTTAACCGCGCATAGTGACTCCTGAAATTTCTTTTGTCGCACCTGCTCGGAGCAAGAAAAAGGGGGTGGGGGGGGAGGGGGGAGACGGGGGGAGGGAGGGGGGTTGACAAGGAGAAGCTCCATGAGCAGTAGCAACAGTTAGCGGCGGCGGTGGCAGCGGCAGCACCAGCAGTTAGCAACAGCGGAGGTGACGGCAGTAGCAGTAAGCAGAGAGCAGGGATGCGCTGATGTCTCAAAAAGAAGGGCGCATCAACAGACACGGCGAGGTTTACGATGCCTTTCAAAAAAAATCCCAGCATCAAGCAACTTTTCAAACACAAAAGCAGGTGAGCTGGCATCAGCAGACAGTGTGCTTACGAGAGCAGGTGAGCGACGTTCTCAAGATTCTCCTCCGAGCTCTTGGCGATGCGCATCTTGTCGCCCTTCTCCTTGAACTCCACGTTGCCCAGATGCAGAATGGCCGCCACAATGCCGAATATCGATGCCTGCATGGGGGGGTGGGTGGGGGGTTGAGGTGGCCGGGTTGTAGCATGTCTGGAAAGGAGGAATCCTTGGCAGCTCTCATCTTGTCGCCCTTCTCCTTGAACTCCACGTTGCCCAGATGCAGAATGGCCGCCACTATGCCGAATATCGACGCCTGCATGCATGCATGCACGCACAACACACGAGGGGATGGGTGGCGAGTGGTTGAGGACGCACGGTATGACCAGAAAAAGAAAACTCGATTTCCATTCCATGCAACCAACCCCCCATGTGCATGCATGTTCCTTTCGTCTGAAGGACCAGCAGAAAGACACTTGCATTCCGCCAACAAACGTCTGTTCGCCCTCTCTCCCCGTCACCCCACCTCCTACCCTATCTTGCCCTCACCTGTTCATCCTGTGAGATCCCAATAACGTCCATGGCATTGCGAGTGATCACATACTCCTCTGTGTTGCCAATCAGATCAGAGAAATCTCGTGCCCTACACACACCCCAGCCCTGCACACTTATTCCACCTCCCACCCTCACCTGCTCGTCCTGTGAGATCCCAATAACGTCCATGGCATTGCGAGTGATCACATACTCACTCCTCTCCATCCAAGCTCTACCCATCCCTCACCTGTTCGCCCTGCGAATCCCCATCCCTCACCTGTTCGCCCTGCGAATCCCCATCCCTCACCTGTTCGCCCTGCGAATCCCCATCCCTCACCTGTTCGCCCTGCGAATCCCCATCCCTCACCTGTTCGCCCTGCGAATCCCCATCCCTCACCTGTTCGCCCTGCAAATCCCCATCCCTCACCTGTTCGCCCTGCGAATCCCCATCCGTCACCTGTTCCCCTGCGAATCCCCATCCCTCACCTGTTCGCCCTGCGAATCCCAATCCCTCACCTGTTCGCCCTGCGAATCCCCATCCCTCACCTGTTCGCCCTGCGAATCCCCATCCCTCACCTGTTCGCCCTGCGAATCCCCATCCCTCACCTGTTCGCCCTGCGAATCCCCATCCCTCACCTGTTCGCCCTGCGAACCCCCATCCCTCACCTGTTCGTCCTGGGAGATGCCAATAACGTCCATGGCGTTGCGAGTGATCACATACTCCTCCGCGTTGCTCCGCTTCCCCTCCAGCTCAATGCACTTGCTCTGCTTCAGGTAATGAAACTTCTCCGCCCTGTTCGGCCCTGGAGGAAGCCGGTACTTCTCTGCCTCCTGGAAAGGCGAGGGGGAGGGAGTGGGGGGAAGAGAGGGAGGGGGGGTGAAGATTTGAAGAGATGTCAGCAGGACTAGACTCGCGCCCCTTGCTCTGCTTCAGGTAGCGAAACTTCTCTGCCCTGTTCGGCCCTGCAGGCAGCCGGTACTTCTCTGCCCTGTTCGGCCCTGCAGGCAGCCGGTACTTCTCTGCCCTGTTCGGCCCTGCAGGCAGCCGGTACTTCTCTGCCCTGTTCGGCCCTGCAGGCAGCCGGTACTTCTCTGCCCTGTTCGGCCCTGCAGGCAGCCGGTACTTCTCTGCCTCCTGCGTGGATGGGAAGTCAAAGAGGCATCACAAGGCATGACAAATGAGTGCTCAACTCAAATCACACCACCACACTCCTCACTCTGCCTCAGGTAGTGAAATCTCTTTGCCCTGTTTGGGGCTGGAGGCAGCCGGTACTTCTCTGCCTCCTGCGTGGATGGGAAGTCAAAGAGGCATCACAAGGCATAATAAATGAGTGCTCAACTCAAATCACACCACCACACTCCTCACTCTGCCTCAGGTAGTGAAATTTCTTTGCCCTGTTTGGGGCTGGAGGCAGCCGGTACTTCTCTGCCTCCTGGAAAGGCAGGGGGGCGGGGGGGAAGGGGGGGGGGGGGGGGGGGGGGGGGGGGGGGGGGGGGGGGGTGTGGGGGGAAGAGAGAGTGAAGGAGAGGTGAACAAGGCATGGAAATCGCGTTGCTTCATCCACACGACACCACTTGCTGCGCTTCCCCTCCAGCTCGATGCACTTGCTCTGCATCAGGTAGTGAAACTTTTCTACTCTGTTTGGCCCTGGTGGAAGCTGGTAAATCTCTGCCTCCTGGAAAGGAAAGGGAGAGAGTGGGGGGAAGAGAGAGTGCAAGAGACTCTGTTTGGCCCTGGTGGAAGCTGGTAAATCTCTGCCTCCTGGAAAGAAAAGGGAGAAAGTGGGGGGAAGAGAGAGTGATAGAGACTCTGTTTGGCCCTGGTGGAAGCTGGTAAATCTCTGCCTCCTGGGAAGGAAAGGGAGAGAGTGGGGGCAAGAAAGAGTGAAAGAGACTCTGTTTGGCCCTGGTGGAAGCTGGTAAATCTCTGCCTCCTGGAAAGGAAAGGGAGAGAGTGGGGGGAAGAGAGAGTGAAAGAGACTCTGTTTGGCCCTGGTGGAAGCTGGTAAATCTCTGCCTCCTGGTACAACAGAAGGTGGAGAGTCAAACAATCGACTCAAAAACCCCAGCCAGCGAGGGTCTGAAGTCAATTTGCAATATTCACACCCACCCACCCACACACCCACACACACACACACACTCACTCACACTCACACACACACACACACACGCACACACACACACACACACACACATGCACGTACCTCAGGGGATGCACCGGCGCAGAGCTGGTAGAAGCAGTGGTAGTTGCGCTCGGGGTCTGCTATCTGCACCACTCTGGACCGCTCTAACAGGTACGAGCGGATGGCGGCGCCGGACACGCGGCCGCGTTGGTCGAACTGGATCTCGATGAACTTGCCAAAGCGACTCGAGTTGTCGTTTCGCACCGTCTTGGCGTTGCCAAAGGCTTCCAGCAATGGGTTTGACTGGTGGGAGAGAAGGGAGGGAGGGGGGTCAGATGGGAAGGTGGAGGAGCGAGCGGACGGAGGAGGGTAGTGTGTGAGATGGAGAGAAGAGGAGGGAGGGGTGGGGGGGAGAGGACGGTCGGCAAGAGAAGGGGGAAGGACGGGAGGGTAGGCCCGCGCTGGTCGAATTGGATCTCGATGAACTTGCCAAAGCGACTCGAGCTGTCTTTTCGCGCCGTCTTGGCGTTTCCAAAGGCCTCCAGGAGAGGATTCGACTGGTGGGTTGGTTGGGGAGGAGGGGAATGGGAGCGTAAGGGACGGGTTAGGAGGGGAGGGGAGAGGAGTGTGTGGGAGAAGGGGAAGGGGGATGGGGTTTTGGCTTGCCGAAGGCCTTTAGTAGTGGGTTCGACTGGTGGGCTGGTAGGTACTAGGTAGGCAAGGGAGGGCGGAGAAAAGTGGGACGAAAAGCGGCTGCGCATTCCCATCCATTCACCTCGATCTTTCCCTCGCACTTCCCTCACCCCCCTCCCTTCTCCCCTCCCCCCCTCCTCACCTCCAGCACTTGGCGTTCAATGCTGCGCCCCTCGGTGTCCTCAGACCGCCCCCCCACGGAAGCCAGATACTCCATCACCAGCTCCGTTGTCTCCGTCTTGCCTCTGCCCCTTGCATACCGTCTTGCAGATTATCACCCCCTTCTCACCCTGAAACCCCATTCCACAGCTCTTGTCCCTTCAATCTCCCCTCTCCCCCTCTCAACTTTCCCCTCCCCCCTCTCACCTCCAGCACTTGGCTTTCAATGCTGCGCCCCTCAGTGGCCTCAGACCGCCCCCCCACAGAAGCCAGATACTCCATCACCAGCTTCGTTGTCTCCGTCTTGCCCGCCCCGCTCTCCCCGCTGATCAGAATCGACTGGCTGCGCTTATCGTCCACCATCGCCCTGCAGGGGTGGGTATTGATGGATCGATGCAACACAATTGAGTTATTTACAAGGTTACTCACGAGGCAAGCATCTCAGAATCCACTGGCTGCGCTTATCGTCCACCATCGCCCTGCAGGGGTGTCCAAATGGGTATCGATGGATGGATGAGACACGATACTATTTCCTCACTTAACTCACCTAAACACCGCCCTATCCCTCTCCCTCGCTGCTCACCTGTACGCCCTATCCCGTCCCCACTTGCTGCTCACCTGTACGCGTTATCAGCAATCGCGAACACATGCGGGCTGAGGTCACCGATCTGTGCCCCTCTGTACGCCTCCCTCATCTCCCGGTCGTAGATGCCTGGTATGCGCATGAAGGGGTTCGCTGCTATCAGGATGCTGCCCGTGTACGTCTGGTAGGAAGGCAAGGAGAAATGGAAAGTGGGAGGGAGGGGCGAGGGCGAGGAGGGAGAAGGGGGGGCGAGTTCGAAGCCTTGTGGTTAGCGTTTACATCTCCGGGTAGTACATGCCTGGGATGCAGATGAAGGGGTTTGCTGCATGCCATTGTAACGAGGTGACTTTTGAGTCGACTCAAAAATCACCTCGTTGCCTGGGATGCGGATGAAGGGGTTTGCGGCGATTGATTATGCTGCCTGTGTACCTCTGGTAGGAGGGCAGGGAAGAAGAGGGCGGGGGAGAAGAGGATACTGCGTTTCATGTTTTGGGATTCAGGGTTTCAGGTTCTATATCTCGGCTCATGTTCAGGGTTTTAGACTCAGGGTTTCGGGTTCTGGGTTTGCCGGGTTTGAAGACTGGTTCACCAAGGGGTTTGCGCGAAAGAATCATGACAATTGAACTCCAACTAATGTGCCAGCTTGTGCTGACTCACTTTACCCAGTGTTCCTGCTGGTTTACCTTCTGTTTACATTTCATACGCACCACCAGCGCTTACATGAATAAGTTTGCGCTGGTAACGAGGCATGAGGTTGGGGAGCAACCCCCCCATCCCACACCCCCCGCCTTCCTCTCTGCAAGGTGACTTAAGAGTCGACTCAAAAGTGCCAGCACTTACATAAATAAGGTTGCGCTGGTAGCGCAGCATGAGGTTGGAGAGCACCCCCGGCTCGTGCAGGTAGGCCATCTTGACCATGTCGTCCATGATGCCGCCATCCTCCTCGCGTGCATAGCACGCACCCGCTGCTACCGTTACCTGAGCATGAGAGGGAAGAGAGTGGGGCGGGGGGAACGGCAACGAGAGAAGGAGCACCAGTGGGCGCTTGAGGCCATCTTGACTTGACCCTGTCCTGTCGTTCCACAATGCCACCATCCTATCCTCCTCCCTCTCGTAGGACGCGCTTGCTGCCTTTTTTCTTTATTTATTTCTGAAAGCTCTATTGAACTCACTGGCTTGTTTTTTCAGGCTGAACATTCGGTATCCAGAAAAACCACCCTGCCAGCACCACCACCACCCATCAAAACCAGTCTCACCTCGCGTTTCTTCTTCCCTGCAGTGTGCTCCACCGCCTGCCCGCCTGCAATTCAACAGCGGGCTCAGAATCGTCTCAATTCTTCTCACGTACCAGCACCACACACACACCCATATCATATCTCATCTCGTGCTCATTCTTCCCTGTGGTCACTCCGCACCACCATCTGCCTGCCCACACTCCCCGCGCCATCCTTGGCGCCTACCAGCTCGCCATCTGCCCATGCGTCCATGTCGAAATCACTTTCGAGAATTCTCAAGAGTGATTTTAACTTGACCCTCGCCCATGCATCCTCCTCGTCCGGCTCGCATTGAACATGCTCTTAAGGCACCTCAAAAGTGGGTCCAGACCCACCTCGCACTTCTTCTTCTTCTTCTCACATAACCAGCGGCTCCACACACCCACCCGTCACCAGCACCACCCGTCTCTCTCTCTCTCACCTCGCGCTTCTTCTTCCCTGTGGTGCGCACCACCACCTGCCCGAATGCACCCCCCCCAGTCAGCACCACCCCTTAGCACCACTTCCTACCCATCACCACACACACTCACAGATCCCCACACCCGCACCACACTCACCTCGCGCTTCTTCTTCCCTGTGGTGCGCACCACCACCTGCCCGCCTGCACCCCCAGCGCCATCCTTGACGCCCACCACCTCGCCCTCCGCCCATGCATCCTCCTCATCCGGCACCCACACAGTGCTGCCCACCGTGAACACACTGCGCTGCTCCGAGCCCTGGTGGGGTGGTGCGGTGTGGGGTGGGGTGGGGTGGGGTGGGGTGGGGTGGGGTGGGGTAGGGTTCAGGTTCAGGTTCAAAGGAAGAGGGGGGGAGGGGGGAGTGCACGGCACGTCTGTTGGTATCCCCATGCATCCTCCTCGTCCGGCACCCACACAATGCTGCCCACCGTGAACACACTGCGCTGCTCCAAGCCCTGCACATGGGGTGGGGTGGGGTGGGGTGGAGTGGGGTGGAGAGGGGTTGCCACCCTGCCAGCATGCCCCACCCACACGCTGCTGCCCACCGTGAACACACTGCGCTGCTCCGAGCCCTGCACATGGGGTGGGGTGGGGTGGAATGGGTGCCCCTATGCCAGCATGCTCGCACGTTCAGCACCTACTCGTCCCCCCCCCCCCCCCCCCCCCCCCCCCCCCCCGTGAACGTGCTGTGCTGCTTCGAGCCATTTGGGTGGGGAGGAAGGGGGAAGGGGGTGGGATGGGTGGGAGTTATGGGGGGTGGTAGGAGGTTTTCAGGTTCTAAGAAAGGGGGGATGTTTATGGCATGTGTTGGTATGTCCACGCATCATCCTCATCCGTCATCCACACGCTGCTGCTCGTTATGACTGGATTTCGGTACTCCGAGCCTGGTGGAATTAGGTCAACGGGTGGTGGCGAGGGCGGGCGGGGGGGGTTGGGGGAGAGGGGTGGCGCGGGGGAGGTGGGCGAGAGGGAGGAGGGAAGAGCGAAGGGGGAAGAGAGAGGGGGGAATGTGAGTGGGGCAGGCGAGGGGGGAAGAGTTAAGGGGGATGTACAAGGGGTAGAAATCAAGGGGGGAAAGGGGAGTGTGAGGGGGGGGGAATGTGGGAAAGGGGGGGAAGAGAGGGGGAGAGGCGGGGGCAGGGGACGGCAATATATGTACATGTCAGGGCAAACAGGCTCCACTCATTCGCCTCTCAAACCCTGCCGCAGGACACAAAGCACAGGCTAGGGGAGGGCTGCGGTGGCGAGGGGTGTGTGAAAGGGAGCTTTCGCGAGAATGGGTAACTGCTGAAAAAGGAGTGTCGCGGGAGCGGGTAACTGCGAGACACGAGGAGTCCGCAACATGTGGCTTTTGTGGTGTTTGGGGACGTGACAAAGGATTGTGCAAAGTTCGCATTTTTTTTAGAGGGGTCTGAGAAGTACGCTTAATTTTGTCTTAAATTTCTCAGAAGTAAGGTACATAGAGGAATATTAAATGAAAGTAGCATGCGACGCTACGCGATGGTGTGCGACGTTGCGCGAGAGGAGACAAGGTGCAATATAGGATCGCAAACGACCCACGGTGGCGAAGGATTCGCAGAGCTTGGGCGTGCGACAGAGCCATGCGAAGTCTAAGCACGGCGGCCATGGTTTGGCGACTACGTGTTCATTTTCATACTCTCTTTTGCACCGAAACAGCAAATTCGTTCTTCCAAGCACGATAACAGGTTAACCTGACATCGCAAGAACTTAGCACAAATAACTTGGCAACGCAACCTTGACGGCAAACCTTGACGACACAAAAACGTGGAATAAAATAGGACACACAGCTGCTTACCATGGTTAACGGGCTCGAGCGGCAGCTGTTCGAAATCAAAACTCAAGGACAATAGCGACGAGACTTGGAGGTTGATGCCATGGACAAACCGCTGCCGGGGAGATGAAGTGAGGGTTTCAGGCCGGCAACGCACTGAAGGACGATCTGAGCGGAGGAAGTGCGGAGGAATTGCGGGACTAACCTATACCAAACCAATCCGATCCTAATCACGACGGTGATGCAGGGTCAAGCGCAGAGGTTTAGGAGCTTCGAGAGTCAACCTATCCGGCAAGAAGCTGGCAAAACACCGATGCTACTTAGCATCGAATGCCAGGAAGCTACGATGCTGACGGCACGGAACGGACAACGAGGAGTGGGTAGGTGGCCGAAATTCTCTGTTCGTGGACGAATGTTGAACGAGCAGGTCAAACTTACGGAATTACTCACAAGAGCACCCGAAACTTGAACGACTAACAACGGAAACTAACGCGGCACGGCTAGTTCGCGTCTCCTACTCTAATTCCTCGGTCCTGGATACACCGTCATCTGCAAAATAACATCAGCAGCAGTTGCAATGCAATGGAAGCATATGTGTGATCACCTCCAACGGGAATCCCGAGGTCGGTTGTGTGCGGTATATCACGGTGTCAGTACTCCCACACGAAATACGAACAGTTTCGTGGCACAGCACACACACAACTGCAGCAAGTAAACAGCCCAACCTCCCCCCATCAATCACATCCCACAAATGTCGCTCTTTTCCCTAACCTAACCCGCTCGTTTGTGCAGACCGGGCCTTTTTCCCCCGAAATCCCGAGCCTGACACACTTTTGTGTGTTGCCATTGGCTTTGCCCCAGTCACATTGCTGCCCATGAACACTCACCTCACAAGCCACAACGAAAACTGATGACCGACACTTTGACGGGCAGCGGATACGACGAAAGAGCAAAGTACACACCTGCCCCAGCTTGAAACTGAGAAATTGTTGGTGGACTGCCCACACCGCAGCGCGATTTACCGAACCAGGCCGAAACGAAGCGAGGGCCGCAGAGACCTAAGGACGCGGCACCTGTTTTCATTTAGGCAGGATCGATCGTTAGAGGGGATCGATGTGCCGCTTATACAGTGTATTTGCGACATCGCTAAAGCTTGGTATCCGTTTTTCGCGGGAGCTCGCAAATGTACAGTAAATGGGTACCCAAACTAGTGGCACCTGCAGCTCGCACGATCGATGTGCCATGTTGCACACATCGATAGTGCGTTTTGGTTGGTGTGAGAGCACATCGCGCCACAGGTGACAGTCGCGATCGATCGACGTCGCCCACGGTCGCAGGCCAATTTTTTTTCAAGTCGCTGCGAATGAAATTCCTGGGCGACCAACCAAGATTTTCCCTGATTGGCTGCGCAAATATTCCGACGTGGATCCAACCTACCGACCCTGCAATTTCGACCCTCGCACCTATAGCTCGATGTGTCTACCTCACAGCAAATTTGCAGTGTGGGCACATCGGTGTGCCGATCGATGTGCCAGGCTCGATGTAAGGCCACGACCCTTCCTCGATCCTTGAAAAATGCAAACAGGTGCCGCGTCCTAACAAAACAAGGACGCTCCGAGCTTGCTCATTGGCTACTGAAATCGGGCTGACTCAGCCCGTGAGGATTTGCGATTGGTGGATTTGTTAGAACTAATGAAAGGGGGTGGTACAGCGCGCCAGCTTTCATGACTGGTTAACATGGCTTATCATATATGAAAGCACTAATATAAAACCTAGAGAAATTGGCACAGAATCAGTACCTCAGGTAAACATCTCATTCATTGCACTGCATTTCATCAGTGTAGATAAGGCAGACATTTGGAGCACTTCCTTACGATGAGGTAGTGGGCAGCTTGAAGTCCCTCAAGGCCGACACATTTACACGCACAGACGGGCCCATTGTTGCGCAGATGTAAGCAGTCTTCCAGTACACTCCCTTGGCGCCTGGTGGGCGATTCGCATCCACAGAGTTCTGGCACAACAACAAAACATAGCATAAACACGCAAACAAAACCTTGAATTGTGACACCAACAGACAACCATTGCCACACACCATACATCAGAATATTTTAAATGTACTACACGATATTTTATGCATATACATACAGCGACGGCAACGAGGTTGGTGAGGAGGTCTTCGTTGGAGAAGGAGGCCTTGCCAAAGAGCACGTGCACGATGCCCGTCTTGTCCGCCCGGTACTCCACCTTGCCCGCCTTGAAGTCCACCACAGCCTGTCATGGGGGGGAGAGGGGCGGGAGGAGGGGGAGGGAGAGGGGGGTTTGGGAGGCCGGGGGGCATTGCGGGTGGGATAAAGGTGCTAAACATGGGTGCCTTGCCAAAGAGCACGTGCACGATGCCAGTCTTGTCCGCCCGGTACTCCACCTGCCCGCCTTGAAGTCCACCACCGCCTGCAGGGGGGAGGGGTGGGTGTGGGGGGGGGGGAGGAGAGAGGGAAAGGAGAGGGGAGGGGGCATTGTTGGTGGAATAAGGGTGCTAAACATGGGGGCCTTGCCGAAGAGCAAGTGCACGATGCCAGTCTTATCCGCCCGGTACTCCACCTTGAAGTCCACCACCGCCTGTCATGGGGGAGGGATGGGATGGGAGGTGGGAAAAATGGAGGAAATGGGTGTAGTGCATGACACATTTGTGAGTTAAATAAATGCAGCGCGGTACACTAATTCGTGTGCGATACTCCACCATATCAACCACTGCATCAAAGCTTGGAGGGAGGGAAATGAAGAGATGATGAGAGGAAAGAGGTGGAGCAGAAGAGCGAGAAGAAGGGCCTGGGAAGTGTGAGGAAGTGGCTTCACAAATGGACAAGAAAACCAAAGTCAAAGGACAGCCAATGGGGAAAGGGATGGAGGAGTGACTGGCTTGAGCAGTATGTACGCAAAACTTGTACGCGCTGCAGCATCAGTAGCAGCGGCGGCGGCGGCGGCGGCAGCAGCAGCAGCAGCAGGAGCAGTAAATTTGAAGAGACCAAGGTGAAACCAAGTACAAAACAAGTCAGACACCGAAGAGAGAATCAGCACGTACCGAAGCAGGGTCGGTGGTGACGGTGCCAGCCTTGGGGTTGGGCATGAGGTGACTTTTGAGTCGACTCAAAAATCACCTCGAGAATCGGCACGTACCGAAGCAAGGTCGGTGGTGACGGTGCCGGCCTTGGGGTTGGGCATGAGGCCACGTGGACCCAGCAGACGACCCAGACGCGCCACCTGAGGAGTAGATAGACCAGAGACCACAGGCGACGGGCGCAGGGGAGAGGGAATGGGTCAATGCAAGTTGGGAAGGGCGAGTGCGAGGAGTGGGAGTGGGGGAGGGTGACTGGGGGAGCGGGAATAAGTGTGTGAGACAAGTTCTAAGCATGTCTAGGGCTTGGGCCTGGGTTGGGCAAGACACCTCGGGGGCCCAGCAGACCAGCCAGACGAGATGGTAGGGTGCGAGGAGAGGGGTGCAGGAGAGAGAGTGGTGCGGGGGAGGGGCGAGGGTTACAGGGGAGAGGGGAGGGGAGGGGTTGACATGGAAGAGTTGGGAGGAATGAAAGGGGTGTGTGTGGGGGGGGGGGGGGGGGGGGGGGGGGGGGGGGGATGGGGGGAGAGAGTGCGCCGGAAGGGGAAATAGAATGGTAGGGGTGAAGCAAAGATAATGACAGGGGAGATGGAGGGGTCTATGGTCTAAAACGGACCAAGCAGCAAGCAACGCAACGCACCTTGGGCATCATGTCAGGCGTGGCGACGAGCTTGTCAAACTCCAACATGCTACTGCGTGGGATCCAAGCTTGCCCCACCCCAGCTACAACCCGGCAGCAGCTAGGAGCAGGCAAGCAACGCAACGCACCTTGGGCATCATGTCAGGCGTGGCGACGAGCTTGTCGAACTCGAGGAAGCCGCCCGCAATGCGCTCGATCAGATCCTCCGCGCCCACCACGTCAGCGCCCGCGTCCGTCGCCTCCCTCTGCTTCTCTCCTGCGCGCATAAGGGGACAGAGACCGGGGGTATAACGGGGAACGAATGGGGGGGGCCATGGGAGGACAGAGGCAGGATGGGATGATAGGAGGTGAGAGTAAGAAATCCAGCAGCTTGGATCACATTGTTACAAGGAGTAAAACTGGTCATCGTGGCAACAAATGGAGCGGGAGAGAATAATCGAGATTTCTCAGAATGCACAGTGCAAATGGCACGTTGAAAAATAAGCGGAGATGTATCACCAAGGGAACGGAGGCGTACCTTGAGTGAGGACAGCAACGCGAACCACCTGGCCGGTTCCCTTGGGCAAAGAAACCTGCGTGAAGGAACAGGAGGAAAGGCAAGAGAGAAGGGGAGGAATGGAGCGGGGAGTAATGGAGAAGAGAGGGCAAAGCAACACGAACCACCTGACCGGTTCCCATGGACAGAAACACCTGGCGAGGGTCGGAGGGTGGGAGGGATGCGGGGGGATGGAATTGGGGGAAGCGAGGGGAGGCGGGGAGAAGGGCGGAGAGGGGAGAGAAAGGGGTGGTTAAGGGATGAGGGAAAGGGAGGAGGTGGGGGGGGGAAGAAGGGGGGTAAGGGAGGGAGGAGCATCCCCGCTGACAGCACCGTTTTTGTTGAGCTAAACAGCATTGTTATTTGCATTCAATGGCGCGCAGGGGTCGATGTTGAGTTGAAAGGGCTCTCACATATTCATGGATCTTTTGCATCCCCGATACAATATCCTCGTATAAACTATCCCCGCTAATAGCATCCTCTCGTTAGTAACCGCAGCGAGAAGCTGCTGATCGGCGTGAATCCAATTGATTTTTAGCCTACAGCGTGTGTCAACGTCCAGTAAGTCTATTCCTTCGATTAATACATCCCGCTAACAACATACCTCCTAAAAGCATCCTCGTTACGCACCATAGCGCGCAGCTGCTGGTCGGCGTACTTCGGGTCGATGTTGAGCCTACAGTGCGCCTCGACGCTCAACCAAACTCATCATTCGACAGATTCATCCCCGCTAAAAGCATCCCCGCTACGATCCTCACCGTGGCGCGCAGCTGCTGGTCGGCGTACTTCGGGTCGATGTTGAGGCGGAAGTGCGCCTCGACGGACTCGTCAAACTTGACGGAAGCCGTCGCCTTGACGATCTCAAGCGCCTCCACCGGCTCGTACTCGCTGTTGCGGTCGCGCAGCTTCTGGATCTCCAAAAACCGCTTCGACCGGGTCTGCGGTCGGGAGGGGATGGTGCGTGAGGCAGAGAGAGGAGGGTGCGATGGTTATCAGGCGTGAGGCACTGAAACTTTTACCATCTAGCCGCACGGTGGGATCAGGCCTCGTACTCTCTGTTGCGGTCGCGCAGCTTCTGAATCTCCAAGAACCGCTTCAATCGGGTCTGGGAGGTTGGCATGGATGTGAGACCGGAGAGAGAAAACGAGAGTCTGAAAATATATAACGTGCTCCTGAAACCAAAACCAGGCGTTCCACCCCATTACCCTGATATGGGAAACTGAAGTGCCCCGACCAGTAATATTTCACGATTGAAAAATATAACGTATTAACGTTCCCGTAAGCTTCTTAGGTTCCAGCTCCCAGACCAGACCAAGACGACCCGCTATCCGCTCAAAACGAGCCTTCGAGTGGCTGGAGACGTACTCGAGGCGCTATATTGGGGATGAATCTAGAAACTCGGGAAAGTCAGCTGAAAATGCCTACATTTGTATCCAACGGCTGGAGACGAGGCGCTACATTGGGACAGAAACAAGAGACTCGGGGAAGGTTTGGCTGCGAAAGCCTACATATGTTTCGAAAAAACCCTGGTTCTTGATCGTGAAGTGTGGCAATCTATGCGGCGCCGACAGAATAATGTCATGCTAAACCTGAACGTTCTGGATAGATAAGGAAGCCCTAGTATGTTCCGCCGCGCACCTCTGCGCATGCGCAGCGCAATGCAGTATACCCCGACTACCACTTCACACTCAGTTTAGTACCCTGACCAGCATCATTGATAAGCCGCGAGAAACCTGAAGAGTGAATATGTTCCGACTTGCACCTGATCCTTCTCGAGCCCTGTGCCGCTTAAGGACACGAACGTCCTCTGAAAACCGAACCGTTCTCTTCCCCGTCCTGATCCTAGCAAAAGGAGCATCGCATTGTGGTTAACCCTAGATTTTATCGGACAGTTACACGAAACCCTAATCGCTGAATCTGTTCCGCCTCGCACCTGGTCCCTCTTGAACACGAGAGCCTTCTTCCCCGTCTTCGCCTTCACTGCGGGCGCTTCAACCTCTTCCGCTTCCCCCGCGTCCTCCGCGCCCTCCACGGACGGGAACAGCTCCGCCACCGCCTGGACGCGCGCAGCTACCGCGGACCGCTCCGCCGCCGCCACTCGCCGTCCGCTAAGGACGCGGGTCGACCGGAGGCTAATCTGCGGGCGGACGAAGGAGGAGGCGGGGACGGTCGTGCGCGACGCCGCCGCGAGCGCGGCGTCGAGGCGGAGAGACTGGAGCATCGGGGTGGCTTCGATGGCAGCCATGGTTTCAGGCGGGAAAAAATCCGAGCTGCGGTTCGCTCTCTCTCTATCTCTCAATCGCTGGTCTGAACGACCGCTACTGCCTCGTTTCCAAGGACAGTAATTACCACCAACTTGAAAGATTTCTGAGAATGAGCAGAGAAACACCCTGGAGGAGGTGGAGGGAGAGGGAGAGAGTGAAAGAAAGTGTGATAGAAATGGCGGAAGGAGAAGGGGCGGATGAATCGAGTCGAGGAGTGGCGGTGGGAGGGTGAGGGGGAGCAACGGGGGAAGCGAGGGGAGCGGAGGGAACAGGTATTCCGGGGGAGCAGGGGGTGCAGTTGGAAGAGTGCTGGAGTAGCGAATAGGGAGAATGGGTACGCGGGGACTGAAAAGCTTTTGGCCTGGAATGGGGGAGTAGGGGAAGCGGAGAGTCGGGGAACGCGCAGTGCAGGGGGACGGAGATTGAGTTGGATTGGAGAGGATCGAAGGGTTTTCAGCTTAGCGGGGACAGGTATCTGGACCCTTTTGCTTTCAGGGCATAGACAGCGCGAACAAAGCGCACAGTTTCCGCAAAAGTCTGGGCTAGGGGGGGAGGGTTATTGTTTAGGTTAGGGAATCGAGCTCTCAATGAGCCACGTGGTTAGTCCTAGACAGCTCTCTCACTGTACATCTACAATCTCAGATTCTGCACTGCGCTTGTTTGTCTTTTCTACCGAATCCAGGCTAGCTCGTCAGCTCACTGTTCCCAAAGCTGTGTGGCCGTTGTCGTTTTTTTCTCGTCCAAATTACATTGCACCCGAAATCCTGAGAATATGTGCACCCTTCCTGACCGAAACAAAATATACCCAATCGGGAAGGGGTGCGACTCGGGAGGCATCAACCCTAACAAGAAAGAGGGGTCCCGTGTTTAGGGTTGATTCCTCCCTAAAATGCGTCCGAGGGAGGCATCAACCCCAAACACCATGCCACAAGGTGTTTAGGGTTGATGCCTCCCTGACCGGATGCCTTCCCGACTGGGGTTTATTTTTTTGCTCGCGTGTCCGTTTGGGTATTTCGAGTGTAATATATTGAGTAGAAACGACAAACCAGAGCAGTGGAGAATCTGTGATTGAACACCTACAGTGAGCTCTCTGTGAGAACTGGGAAACGTGGCTCATTGAGAGCTTGAGTCCCTAATCTGAACAATAGCTCTCCCCCCCTAGCCCAGACTTTAGTGGAAACTGTGCGCAGAAAGCGCTACCCCCAACCTGAAAGCGGAGGGGTCGGGATACCCCTCCCTGCTAAGCTGAAAACCCAGGATCGAAGGCTGGTTGGAGCAGGTTGGTTTGCTGACGTGGCAGGGTGACGAAGTGCTGTTGCAACCTGGATTGGACGTGGCAGGAACCCCAAGCCGTGGGACGTGGCCCTCTCGACTCAAGAATGCTTCTCTCGGGAAATGCAAGGTTAACAAGCGTTATCTAATAACATGTAACCAATCTTGATGTTGGTTGATGACTTCACCATCTTAGTAAATAATTCTCATGCAAAATTACCAAATGCCTTCAGAAATCTAGCATCAACCAACTTCTTCATTCGATTACATATACCCTAGGGAGTGTCAGAGACAGTGGCTCAAGCTTATTGATTTAACAAAGAAACAATCAACATTCATACTCAATCATTACCTATCTGTGTAACATCAGGTGTTCTAGTGACCTGATAAGAGATGCTTGAGCCGCCCTGATGCACTATGCCTCCCAAGCAAACTCCTGGTATCTCTTGCAGCCCCCGCGAGATGCGAATCTGCAAGTGCCTCTGGTTTGCCACTAGATGTAGCTACACCAGTGGCCTCTCTAACTGCTTGTGGTGCTTCTGCTGATAGTGCAGCAGCAGCGCCTTGTGTAGAGTTAGTCCTGAGAATTGAGAAGGCGGTCACAACATCCGACATGCCTCCTTCACATGTCCCTCCATCAACTTCCATCCCTCCTCTCTCCATCCCACCCTCTGCTCTCACATTCTCCCTTGCTTGACCAGTAGCCAATGCTGCGCTGACAGCTGGCAGCACGTTTCCAGTGCTCGAATACACCGCCACAGGCTCGGGAGCGGCTGTTCGGTCAAGAGTGACGGCCGGGGACAGCCGGGCCCGGAACTCAGCAATGGTGCCAACGCTGCTTGCAGCTCCAGTGCTGCCGAGGCTGCCGATCATCCCATTCTTCTGCCAAGGCTGGTGAGGGTGCAATTGGTGATTTCCCTGCTGCTGCTTTTCATCATGGCCGTTCAAGTGGGTCTGCAGCACAGCAGCAGCTGCTGCACTCAGCACGGCGCTGTTGTACCCAGCCAAACCTGCTCTGCCTCCCACCTCACCCTCCTGCTCCTCCTGCTCTCCCTCACCCTCTCCCTCCTCCACCTCCTCCTCTTCCTCCTCGTCTTCGTCGTCGTCCTCCTCCTCCCCATGCCCACCGGTCCCATCCACAATCATATCTGTTCCCCCATTAGCGCCACCTGCCACTGCTGTCCCTGGAGCCGCAGCACTGTTCACAACCACTTGCGACTTTCGGATCTTCCTCTTGGGAGAGAAGAACGTGAACGGGCTGCTCAGGCCTGACGGCCTGGCTCGGAACAACGCAGACGTCCCCGAACCTGGCGCTCCTGAACCTGAAACGCCAGCTCCGGCAGCGTTCTTCCGAGCCTTGGCTGCCGGGGCAGCACCCAAGGAGAAGAGAGAGGCGAGCTTGCTGGTAGCACTGGCCATGGCTCCACTGGCAGAACCAAAGGACCCACCACCACCACCAGAAGGACCACCACCAGTAGCACCAGCAGCAACACCAGCCGCAGCACCAGCGGCTGCAGAAGCGGCGGCGGCACTAGGAACAGAAGCAGAGGGGGGCGGAGCGGCTGTTGCATGAGCGTCTCTCCTCCTACCGGATGACACTCGGAACACCCCCGTGCGGCCCTTGTGTGCTCTAGGGGCACGCCTCAGAGGCTCAATAGCAGGTTCAGGTAAGGCAGCAGAATTGGTGGAAATGGGATCATGTGGGGTAGCCGCATGTGGGGTATGCTCATGTGGAGTAGGAGCAGATGGGGCGGGCGTATGTGACGTCGGTGCAGCTGCTGGCAAGGAGACAGAAAACGGATGATCAACAGACATGGGAGCGATGGGCTGAAGCGGCACTAAGGATTCTGTTGTTGTTGCTGCAACTGCAGCTGCTGATGGTGCTCCTGCTGCTGGCACAGCTGCTGCTTCTGCAGCAGATAGCTCTGCACGCACAGATGCAACAGTATCTGTAACTCCCCCACTCGCACCGCCCACCACAGGCGCGGAAGCTACTGGCACCGATGCACCTGTCAGAGCTGGTTCCGAACCAGTCGCCGAAGCTGTTGCCGAAGCAGATGCGTGGGCTGCGGCCGAAGCGAGCTGCGAAGGAGGAGGCATGGGCTTGGCAAATGAAGGGCGGACGGTGATGGCTGCTGGGAGGGAATCAGCAGTGAAAGCTGTGACTGGTGGGTGAGGCATAGCAATGAATGCTGCTGGGATGGCAACATTACTAACACCCTCTGGGTGAGGCACAGCAGCCATGGGTGATGGAAGCGAGACAGCACTCATAGAAACACCAGCAGCCGTGGCAGGCAGAGGAGTGGCGGTATGAGGGGGATGGGGAGTGGGAAGGGCGGCGGAGTGTGGGAGAGTGAAGGGCGTGGGGCAGGAGGCAGCGGAGGAAGCGGAGGAGATGGTGG